ACGTCGTCACTGACCACAACCCCAAATACACCATAGCAACCCCTGCTATTCCAACCATCTGCCTGGCCTAGACATGGCATTTTGAACCCGACCTGTTAACCTGACCCGACCCGTTAATATTAGTATTTGGGTGGATGTTTAACGGGTCGGGTCGCTAACGGATGAATTCGTTAACAACTCGTTAAATAACGGATCACTTTGGGTTAACCCGTTAGACTCGTTAGCACTCGTTAATACGAGTTAGTTGAGGATGTTTTAGTAATTTCAATAAAATCTTAATAACAAAATATAAACTTTATGAAAAAAAATAATAATAATAATTGTTAACAGGTGAAACGGATGACCCGTTAGCTTAACGGATTAAAGATAAAGATGCCAAGTCATAACAGTTCATATAATTGTAGTTAGAAAATCATTCTTGTTATAACTGTATTATTACAACTGTATAGTTTGGTTAGGTGGTTATGTTTACAGGCTGTCATAGATATTTTGGTACATAGCCTTAACTATATATAGTTATCGAAATGTAAATGTAAAAGTATGTTATGAAAAGTAAATGAGAAGAGGAATATTAAGATAGAAATTATCTCTCTGTACTTTGGGTTTCTATATGGTATCAATCGCCACCGCCTCACGGCTCTCTTCGATCCTCCTCTCTTCGATCCTCCTCTCTTCCGCCGTGCTCTCGTCTCCATTCAATCATCTCATCTTCGATCTGTGGATATTACTAGTGTTGTTTTTCGATCTTGCATCTTGGATCTTACATTGTGTTCTCTGATGGCGTCGCCCACCGGTTCCTCTTCTCAGATTCCGAATCCCAATTCCTCCTCTTCAAACCCTAATTTGTCAAATTCGTACGCTTCTCTCACGATTCAGAACATCGGCAGCATGGTGCCGATCAAGCTCAAGCGTTCGAATTACCTACCATGGTGTGCTCTCTTTGCCCCTATTCTTCGCCGGTACAAGCTTCTCGGACTCATTGATGGCACTGAGCCCTGTCCGACGCCATGTCTACCAGATCGTTCGATCAATCCTGCTTTTGAGAGTTGGTATGAGAAAGATCAGAATCTTCTCATCTGGTTCAATTCAACACTCTCTGAAGAAGTCATTCCCTTCACTGTCGGCGTTTCGTCTTCCAGAGATCTGTGGCTTAAGCTTGAGCAGCGCTTCGGTGGTGTCTCTGATGCGCACATTCATCAGCTTCGTTCTCGCCTTCAGTGCATTCAGAAGAATTCTCAATCAATGGCGGATTATCTGCAGCAGATCAAAGAAATTTCAGATTCCCTCACTGCTGCAGGCACTTCGATTTCAGATCGAGATCTCATTGCTGCTACCCTGGCTGGTCTTCCTGATGAGTTCGAATCATTCATCGACTCCATCATGCTTCGTCTCTCTTCCACATCCCTTGATGAGCTGCATGGATTATTACTCACCAAGGAGCTTTCCATGAATCGACGGAAGCAACTTGCCTCTTCTGCACCTACTGAACCGTTTCATGCTCTCTCGGTTCACGCTTTACCGCCTCTTCTTCCTACACCACCTCAGGCTTTTGCTGCTCAACAGCCTCCTCTTCATACCTCTTCTCGATATAACTCCTATCGTGGCCGGAATAATCGATTTTCTAATAATCGAGGACACAGAGGCAATCATCGGGGCAACTACACTCATGGCTTCACTTCTGGATTCAATCGTGGTCATAACTCCTCCTCTCGTGGTTCATCTTCGTCGGGTGCTCGTAATCCCTGCCAGATCTGTGGGAATCCAAGTCATGAGGCAATCGATTGCTTTGATCGCATGAATCCAGATATTTCTGGTAAAATCCCTCCAGCAAAGCTTGCTGCAATGTGTGCGCACTATCAATCCAAGTCCTCTTCTCCTTCCTGGCTCATTGATTCTGGAGCAACTTCTCACATAACAAATGACATCTCCAACATCTCGTCTCCATCTCCTTATACTGGTGAAGATAAAGTCTACATTGGTGATGGTAAAGGTCTTTCCATCACTCATACTGGTTCCTCTTTGTTACATGCTCCTCATCATTCCTTTAAATTGAACAATGTACTTCATGTTCCTCAAATGAAGCACAATTTATTGTCTGCTTTTCAATTTGTTAATGACAATTCATGTTCATTAACCCTTGACTCTGATGGATCCTCTGTTAAGGATCGTTCTACGGGGAAGATGCTTTTGCGGGGACCCGTTAGAGATGGCTCCTATCCTTTGCAAAGCTTTCCTTCCAGTGGTATCTCTTCTGTTTCTTCATCAGCATTCGTCAGTATTAAAGCTCCAGTAAAGATTTGGCACAGTCGACTGGGTCATCCCTCCTCTACCATTTTTCGGAAAGTAATCTCTAGTAATCGTCTTGCACTGCATGGTAAATCCTCAGTTGACTTCTTCTGCTCAGATTGTGCCATTGCTAAGAATCATAAACTGTCCTTTTCTCCTGCTAAGTCATCAACTCCTCATAGTTTAGCTTTAATTCATTGTGATGTATGGGGACCTGCCCCTGTGCCTTCTGTGAGTGGTTTTCAGTATTATCTGTTGTTAGTAGATGATTACACCAGATATAGCTGGTTCTTTCCATTACGAAGAAAATCTGAGGTGTTTTTCTACCTTTGTAAATTTCAAGAACTATGTGGAAAAGTCTGTTGGCAATCAAATAAAGACTATACGTTCTGATTCAGGGGGTGAGTTCACTAGTGCTTCTTTTCAGTCTTATCTCAATTTGCATGGCATTTTTCATCAATACAGCTGCCCACATACACCTGAACAGAATGGATGTGTAGAACGCAAGCATCGCCATCTTGTAGAAACAGCCCGAACACTGTTAGTAGCTTCTCAAGTCCCTTCAGTTTATTGGGTTGAAGCCTTCTCCACTGCCATTTACTTGATCAACAGGTTACCCATTTCTGGTCTTCTCAAATCTCCATGGGAGTTACTATTTCACACACTTCCTGACTACACTCGACTCCGTGTCTTTGGGTGTAGTTGCTTCCCCTGGCTAAAACCTTATGTTCACTCTAAACTTGATGGCAAAAGCAAGCAGTGTGTTTTTCTTGGGTACAGCTTACAACATAAGGGTTATAGGTGCTTAGACATAGCTACTGCCCGAGTTTACATCTCTCGGCATGTTCAATTTGATGAGAGCTCATTTCCCTTCACTACCAAGACATCTTCATTCTCTCCTTCTACCCTTCCTAGCTCTCCTACCTTTGATCTCCATTTTCCTATGTCTACCCTAACCACTGCTCCAACATGCTCTTCTCCTATCAATCCTATTACCCCTGCTTCCTCTCCTACAGCTCCTGTCTCCCCAGTCCCAATTCAATCTCCATCACTTCCTCCACCTTTGCCAAGTCATAACACACATCCAATGGTCACTCGATCGAAAAATGGTATTTTTAAGCCTCGGGCCTATAATGCTACCAAACATCCCCTCTCATCCTCTATTGATTATATCCCCACCACTTACAATCAAGCTTCTAAGTTTGCTGAGTGGCGAACTGCAATGCAGGCCGAATTTAATGCCCTCCAATCCACTGGTACATGGATCTTGGTTCCTCCTTCTTCCAGTCAGAATATTGTTGGCTGTAAATGGGTATTTCGAATCAAAAAGAAGCCTGATGGAACTGTTAACAGGTATAAAGCCCGGCTTGTTGCCAAGGGATTTCACCAACAAGAGGGTCTAGACTATCAAGAGACATTCAGTCCTGTAGCAAAGCCTGTCACCATTCGCATACTGTTAACCTTTGCTGTCCAGTTTAATTGGTTTCTTCATCAACTCGATATTAGCAATGCTTTTCTTCATGGTGATTTAAAGGAAGAAGTCTTCATGCATCAGCCACCTGGCTTCAGTGATCCAAACTATCCGAATCATGTGTGTAAGTTGAAAAAGTCCCTGTATGGACTCAAACAGGCCCCACGGGCATGGTTTGATAAGCTATTTCAGTCTCTTCAGTCTCTAGGCTTTACTCAGTCCTCCTCTGATGCATCTCTCTTTGTTCTCAAGGCTCCAGTTCTTGTGGTTGTACTTGTCTATGTAGACGACGATATACTGGTCAGTGGTCCGGATTCTTCAGCCTGCCGTTTGTTCATTCAGAAGCTAAGTTCTTTGTTTCCTGTCAAAGACTTAGGTCCTTTACATTACTTCTTGGGACTTGAGGTCCAACGCACCACAGCAGGATTATTTTTACATCAAGGGAATATTTTGTTGGACCTTTTGCACAAGACAAAAATGGAGGGTGCTAAGCCTTGTTCGACACCTCTTGGTACTGTCAAACTGGATCACAGTGGTACACCTTTGGCAAATCCAACCGAGTATCGATCCATTGTGGGAGCCCTTCAGTATCTCACTTGGACTCGGCCTGATATCTCCTTTGCAGTAAACCAAGTATGCCAATTTATGCATACTCCTACTGACTTACATCTGCAAGCAGCCAAGAGAATTTTGCGTTTTCTCAAAGGTACATCTTCTCATGGCATCTGGTTTCTTAAGGGTCCTCCTCTTACTCTATCAGCTTATTCTGATGCAGACTGGGCTGGCTGCCCATTTGATAGACGATCCACGAGTGGATTTTGTGTGTATCTTGGCTCCAATTTAGTCAGCTGGAGTGCTAAAAAGCAGTCTACAGTAGCTCGTTCTTCTACTGAGGCTGAATATCGGTCTCTTGCTCATACTGCTGCGGAAATTACCTGGATCTGCAAGGTTTTCAGAGATTTTGGTTTCCCCCTCCACGCTCACGCTCCAACCTACCATCTGGTGCGACAACATCTCTGCCATTTCACTTCACTGCATCCAACCCTGTTTTTCATGCCCGAACTAAACACGTGGAGATCGATTATCACTATATCAGGGAGCTGGTTCTTGCTAATCTGATTAAAATTCAGTATGTTTGTAGTCAGGATCAGATCGCCAATATTCACACCAAATCTCTGTCTAAACATCGGTTTCTCTTCCTTCAATCCAAGCTCTCTCTTGGAACTCCTAGTCTTTCCAAGCTCAGCTTGAGGGGGTGTAAAGATAAAGATGCCAAGTCATAACAGTTCATATAATTGTAGTTAGAAAATCATTCTTGTTATAACTGTATTATTACAACTGTATAGTTTGGTTAGGTGGTTATGTTTACAGGCTGTCATAGATATTTTGGTACATAGCCTTAACTATATATAGTTATCGAAATGTAAATGTAAAAGTATGTTATGAAAAGTAAATGAGAAGAGGAATATTAAGATAGAAATTATCTCTCTGTACTTTGGGTTTCTATACGGATTGGGTTCAGATAACTTGTTAACTTAACAAGTCAAGTTGAACCCAACCCATATTCAATAAATCCGACCCGTTTACAGGTCTAGCTTAGACTGGTCACCCCAAGATGATGGCATTGAGATTGTATTGCTGCATTCGTCAACTGGAACACCTCCCATCAAAGGAAGATTCAAATTCCTACATCAGTGATGTTCCTTTGGGTCCAAATTTTCTTCGACTTGCTTCTGGTGCTGCTGCTCATATTGTTGTATTCGGACAGGATTAGATTGAGCACAAATTCTTGTCACCTATACTTGTTGATGGGGCATTGCTCATGCTGGGTTACCATAGTACAGTGTATAGCATCTGGATGGTATTAGCTATAATGCCGTACGTCGATATTGAGGAGTCAGCACAGTGGACATGAATCTTTTAATACTCAAAAAATACTTTTAAAAATACAGTTTATCAAACGTCCAACTACTTTTTTTTTATAGCTAATTATTTTTAAAGCACAACAGAAACAGTTTTTTAATTAAAAAAGCACAACAATCCAACATTGGCCCTTTAAGTTAAAAGTCAACAAAATCACTAGACATGTAGCTCAATTAGCTAAGAGGACTTACACTCTGCATTCAATGACACGAGTTTGATTCCCCCTCCCCAATATCACTTTGTTTTTCGAGAATTTCGAGATGAATACTCCATTCAGTTCACATTTTCTACATACGAATATGCGTGCCTATACATCATATTTGCTTGCTCATGCAAGTTCAAAGTAAAAAAGTGTACATATCCTCTCCTTGAGGTAAAAAGAGAGTAGAGAAAATAACTCTAAATCTGGTCGATCAGCTGAGGGAATTGTCGTAGAAGCCATGCCACACCTCTGATGGCAATCTGTAAAACATATGGGATTTGAAGTGAAACCTGACCTAGTTCTTCAAAGAATTATAATCTTATAATTTCTGCACACCTAGTTTTCGTATCCGTAAGGTTGAAAAGCAGTTAAAACAGAACAGAAATTCAAGAAATTGGACAAATTTGAACGTATATTCATATTCTACATGTTCATCCAATGCCAATGGCAGGAAGGTTGCACTATAGAATTTAGACTGGAACCATCAGATATCAGGCCCCAACCTAAACGTCTGTTTTAGATTATGTTTGTTTCGAAATAGTATATGGAATGCCCTGAAACAAAACAAAAAAAATGAGAGAGCGTGAAAGTACGGAGGTTAAGCACTTACCAACACAGTTTCTCCAGGCTTGATCGCAGGTTCGACACTATCTCGCCCGTAGCTGTTTATCAAAGACAAAATTAGTCTCCCAACAAACTATACGCACTCAACAGAGATACACAAGTACACAAGATGTTTCTTCATCTTCGGGAACGAAATTGAATGAGCATGCAGTACTATAATCTGGTGCATGCTACGACTGCTATCTGTTCTTTTGAAGTATCCTTACATTATTTGTCTCTTGCCATCGATGACCTCCAACTTATAAAAGCTACATCCTTTGCTGAAGGGAAAAGGCTTCCCATTCCATTCTGATCGAAAATACGTACTATTTCAGTGAGGATCGGATAAACATATATATCACAGAGGAGAAAGGACGTAGTGTAACTAATTTCCATTAACATACCTAAATGCCATGTTACCCCAACTGCCGTGGAGTCCTCAGCGGATAAGTCGTCAATAACAAACTTAAGGTCTTTGCCGACAGAATCATTGAACTTTTTGAAGAATTGAAGTATATCCTGCGCATTGTTGAAGCTGATGCTTGATCTTGAGAATGAAATACACAATAATTCAGAGCTGCTTAAACATTTTTCTATAAAAAAAACGCTTGAAATCGAACTTAAGACCTCCTCCATCATATTTGAAAATACAAATTCGGAACTTACTTGAAATTTATAAATGCAAACATTTTTCTAGACGGGCTGGAAGGATTAATACCAATAATGTTCGGAAACACAAATATCAGTTTTAAGTTTTGCAGGAACAACCCTCCAGATTCAGTTAGTGATTTCGGACCTTAGGTTAACATGATTTTCTTTTTTGAATGCTTAAATTTTTTGGAAATTTTGTTACTAGAAGATTGATTAAAAAAAAAATAAAAGAACGTCCACGTAAATCCTCAAAGGTCAGTAATAAAAGTCTACATAAATCTTCGAAAGTTCAAAAAGAATCCGTCAAAGTCTGCCAAATCTATATTGTTATTTTAAAAAGTTTTTAAAATCCTTAAATCGTAGTTTGACTACACACGTAAATTCCACAAATTCTTCTTTCTTCTTGTTATATTATTATTTTTATTTCTAAATATTTATTATAATTCTGTCAATTTGGACTACTTTTTCTGTTTATTTTTAAGTTTAAAATTATTATATTACAGTCAAATATCAAAGCACATACTAAATAAAAGAGCTGAGATGTGGATAAGAGATAAGAGTACCTTGCGACCAATGAAAGGACGAGGAAAAACAAGGTCCTCGTACACACATTTCTCTGCTATGAGCCCCTCCACTGAACCCAAATCTTGGCGGTTGACTCCCGCGTAGAACTTCCTCACAACGTCCGCTCCAGATTCCACCACATCAGCTGACTCATCGCCATCAGTTCCCGGCGGTGATGCAACCTCGACTGTCGGATTGGCTGATGACGATGAGGCCCGAAACTGAAGGGTCTGCGGGGTCCATCTCAGTGGTGTGCTGATAGCAGTTGCTGGATTGGATATGGGGAGGTTGGAAGTGGTGATTGGAATGGAAGGAGATTTGGTGTGGTTAAGAAGGAGACGAGGAGACGAAGAAGATGAGAGGAATAAGGAGTTTATCATCAGCATGGCTGATGTTTGAAAACAACAAACAAATCCAAAATAACTTTAATATGAATCGGACAATACTTGCATATATAAGAAAACTAATTAAAAGTGTGTTACTTGCATCCCAACGGGAATGCACCTATATATTCTACCATTTATGAATAACGTAATTTTATTGTCTAAATTTATGACCAAAATTGTTCAATTCTTAATTTTTCATTTGAAAATTATCCTTAAAAAAAAAAAAACAGTCAAATCAGTGACTGTTTATCCATCCAAATATATGAAATAAATGAGTATTAAGTATTATATTCATGGGAAAATATACACATTTTACCATTTACGAATAATATGTCTATATCGCATAAATTAAATAATTAGATGTTGTTCTGTTCATAGATAGATCACTCAAGTTTGGGTCCATAAGCAGTGACAATTACCATATGAAGACATGTTTTTGCTACGACTCTGGTGGGTTCCTTAACCAAGCCACTGCCTATGAGTCACCGACTCATTCTTCAACAAGTACGCAGTCAAAATCCTGGTGTGAGGATGTTAAGACAAAATCCCACATCGATGAGAGACCAAATCATTCAAAGACTTATAAAGAGTTGGGCTACTCTCTATATTATCAATTGGTTTGAAGAGCACTGAATTATTTTAGCCTAAGCTAAATATGTCTCATTGAGAAATTAATTTGTCATTTGGTGCTAAATAACACTTCAGCCTAACTAGGCTTGTTTTGCATGCAGTAAACAACCGTAACTTTAATCACAAGCCCTAGGTCCAAGCCCAATGGGCCTTGAAACCTAAACCTTCTTATGAGGCCAATTCAACATGTTAATCTTAATTATAAAATTAACACCATTAGCTGATTTATCTCGAAATTAGAATTCATCCATGAACTATAGTTTTTTAAATTTATGTCCCTAAATTTGACAAAATGTGCATTATTGGTCCATGCCGTTCAATTAATTTCTTAAAAAAAGTTTGTTCATCTTATGATGCAGCCCACATGCGGATTCCCATGTCCAATTTTGTGATGTCATGTAGATTAAACAAAAATATATTAATATATTAAAAATAAAGGAAAAGGAGAAGGATTCAAGATGGAATTGGGGAGGGTGTTCACGTGTTAAGTATTAGAAAACATCTCTAATGTAGACAATTGAGTTGGAATACCTGTTTTAATCAGACACGTAAGTAAAAACTAGCTCCAATAATAGAGGCAATTGAGTATGCAAATTATGCATACCCTCCAAAAATAGGCACATTGCCTACACCATCATGAGTAGGCGATTCAGGCGCCACACCCTCCTTTGATAATCAAATATTCGATGTAGAGGAAGATGACAAAACCAAAAAGTAAAAATTGATGTTACACACGAAATAAAGAGTAGACGTGATGTAAATCCAATTTTTTGAGTCATTATTGAATTTAGTCCAGTTTGTTGGACTAGGTCTACTCATTGATTATCTACATCAGTTTATATTTTATTTTATTAAATTGTAAATGTTATCCCTTATTTATAGGAATGTCTTTTACTTGAATATTGTATGTTGTAGGTGCTATATATCATCATAAAATATATATGTGTGTATATATATATATATATATATATATATATATTTTGTGTGTGTGGATTTATAAATGTATAAAAGATAAAATATCTTCGACTATTTTTATGGATAATAAGTATATTAAGTTTTATTTACTTTCGTATATACTTTTTATAAAAGTGGTTCTATTTTCAAATTTAAATATTCAAATTCAAATTTTGAGTAAAGATGCATAAATCAAGAAATTTAATTAAAGTATAAAAATATGGAACAAGACTAAATCCAATAGCAACTTTAAATTTTAGACTTGGATCAAAGTATAACATATAATATTGCCTTCTTAGTTTGCCTAATCTATTAGAGTCATTTCAAACTATTATTATAAGACAATTCAGTAGGCAACATACTATAATATAATTTTGCCTTTTATAATATAATTTTGTTATTTTAATTGAGTATTGTTGATGCACAAATCAGTGAGGACTTTGTTACAACAGAAAGTATTAAGTTTGTGACATTTGCTAGATTGCTCCGGTCATTAGTGTTGATAAGTATGTAAATGGATAGGGACAGGGAAGCAAACACAAGATGTACGTGGTTCACCCAGATTGGCTACGTCCACGGAGTAGAGGGGTTCTCATTAATTGTGAAGGATTTACACAAGTATATAGGTTCAAGCTCTCCTTTAGTGAGTACAAATGAATGATTTAGTACAAATGACATTAGGAAATATTGCGAGAGAATGATATCTATTTATAGAAGAGAGTTTCTAGTTTCATTCTGACATTGACACGTGTCGTGCTGTGATTGGCCTCTGATGTCGACACGTGTCGCGTTATGATTGGCCTTAGATGTTGACATGTGTCGCATTGTGATTGGCCTCCTAGTTGGAGGAAGACTCTTGTGGGTCCTTGAGATTATAATGTTGACCAGTACTTAATAGTTTCGGGATTAATGGTACAAACAAGTATATTATTGAAATGCTTTATAATAAATAAATTCGTAGGTCTAAATAGCATTGTATATTAATATGTATGCCGTCAGAGTATATTGCCCCGCAAGATCCTTCCTTGCTTAGTCCTTTCTACTCCTAATTTTCTAATGATTATGTATGTCTCAATCAATTTGTTTTTGACTGGAGTCAGAGTAGAATCTGACTAAACCACCGACCTTTGTCCCCCAAAAGTCAAGAGACATCGCAAATTTGCAATGTGAAAACTTGCAATTCGTGCGACCCAAAAACAAAGGAAAAACACATGAAGAAAACTTGCCAATATTGCTTTTAAACTTGAGTCAAAAGTAAAATAATGTCGTTTTTAGTATTTAATCATATATAACATCCAAGCACTCCATTGTTTTGCAGCTGTTTTCCGCATTGATTATGGACCTTTCTAATTTAATTAACTTAATCCGTTTAATGGTTTAATTATGACATATAATAAGATCTCTTGACGTGGATCACTTTAGTCACCTTCTTCTTTTCAATGGGAGTTCGGATTCTCTTTGTGAGAATCCTAGGGATCCGTAAATAGTGTTCGTTCATCGTATATTATATGGTCAAAAATTATTTTACATATTTTTATTTAAAAATAAACATAAACAATACTTGACAAAAATTGACCAGCACGATATATGATGAATAAACACGATTCACAGATCTCTATGAGCCTCACCAAAAAGATCCGGAGAGGATCCTGTTGGTTTCAAAGGTCCAAAAAAGTCGAGGTTGGTCGGATCTACTTCTGAGATGATGAGTTATAAGACCCAAATGATGACGTCGGTCGGCATTTCGCCAATTAGCCAAAAAATAGAAAAAGGCAGTCGGACACGTTGGATTTGGAGGCCTCGCACTGCCATGTACGGCAGGTGGTTCTTGGGTGAGTTTTGTAAAGGGAAGTAAGAGCTTCAAACTGGTGGTGGTGGCATCAAATTTTTTTTGCCACAATTGGCCGTAATTCGCATAGAAAACTTGAAGTTGTGCGGGTTGGTAGATTCAGTGGGTTGCGAGTTATTGGTTTCGGTTGGGTTTCCATTTCTGGAAACTACTTTATGCTTCTTTTTTTTAATCTGGAGTCAAGTTTTTATTTATAGTAATTGACAAAAGATCAAAATGCGAGCACTCTATAACTTCTTCATTTCCACTGTGATTCGCAACGGTTGTTGCCCATGCGTTCTACCTAAATCCGCCTCAAACACCAAAATAAAATTTAAAATGACTAAAATGCCCTTTAAAATCATTTTTCTCACAACTGTAAAATGAATCATTTCAAGATGGCGTATCATAGGTTATGTCCTTACTGTTGGAGATATCGCAATATCTTGGAGGTCAATCAAGCAGACTCTTAGTTGCGACTTTTTTTGAATCATGCCGAGATCTCACCTTTCATGAAGTTATGCATGAATGCTTATGGTTGAGTGTTGTTAGTGAGGATATTAAGAGCATTTGCGGACCTTCTTCCGTAGTTAATTTTCCTACAACGGTTTATGAAGATAATGTTGCTTGTGTCATCCAAATCAAGAAAGGTTCATGAAAGTAGAGAATAGCAAGTATATGGCACCAAAGTTTTTCTATTCACATAAGCAACAAGTGCATCAGAAAATTGAAGTCAAGCATATCCGATCCCAAGACAACCTTATTGATTTCTTCACCAAGTCATTCCCAAGGCAACCTTATTGATTTCTTCACCAAGTCATTAACTCACTTTTCTACTAGCCTATAGGTTTTGTCTCGCCTTGATTTTCAACATAGCTAGGTTTTTTGAGACTTACTTTCCATGTGCATTTCGTGTTTGAGACTTCATTAACTATTTTTACATCATTGCTAAAAATCTAATGCACCATCTACTTGAGTATTTACACAAACAAGGAGGAGTGTTGCAGTTAATATTCCATTAGAAGTGCAATTGTGTAAATCTTAGTAGATTATGTTTAGGATTGTATGAGATCATTCTTTATTGTACTTGTATTACTTGGAGAACAAGATTCTTTCTTCCATATTACTATAAATAAAGACATAAAGAGGTGAAATCACAACACATAATTCCCACTCTCTGTCTATTTTCTCTCCTATCGCGGGTCCTCCCCCTTTTCTTAGCCCACAACAACTATATATCATTTTTTTGTGGAATTGATGATTTACTAATATAAAAAGAAAAGAATAACTAATATTCTAATTCATATCCCAATCGTTACTCATACAAACAAAAGTTGTCGGTGGTAGACAAGCTAAAGGCTCGATGACCAACATAAATCTAAGGACAACAAAAGGCTCTTTCTCTTATTTTGTTTTATTTTGTTTTATTTTTTTTATCAGTAAGGCTCTTGTTCTGCATTCAGTGAATCAAAAGATTCATCAACGATTGTAGATTTTGTGATTGAAACCCTAACTTTTTATAGTTGTTGTTTTTATTTTATTGGCTTTAGTTAATAGATTAATCCTTGTCGGTTTCAACAAGTAAATGTTTAAGTCTTTCTTAAGCACAAAAAGTACGGCAATTGAATTTTGCTTAATTTTAAGTAATTGTGAGTTAGACTAATCGATTAAGGTAGTGAGCAAATGTGGTGAGGCTAATCGATTAAGGTAGTGTGTTGGTCCATCTCACTTA